TATATACCTGCGCGCACACACACACACACACACACACACACCTGAACATTCATAGGTAGTTTAACATTATTGCTTAAATAGAGGGTCCAGTATTTTATATAGTGCACAATCTAACACGAGTAGTTGTTACAAGGGGGTAAAGTGGGAGGGAGAGGTGGGGGGGGTATTGCTTTTTTTTTGTCAATCTTTGGAAATCGAATAATAAAAAATGATAAAAAACCACGAACGTCCCCCAACACTCCCTTGTGTACTATTTACAGTTAATAAGTGCAAACTTATGTCATGATTGATCAGGGTCACGCAGAACCCTGAAAACGTACCCGCCAAGATCTTTGTCAAACTCCCGAAGTAATAAAACGATGATCTTTTTTTTTTTTTTTCCTTCCTGAGGTCATAGCAGACGCGGCCGACTACTACGACCCCCCCTAGTCATTAAAATATTGCAGACGCTAATCATCTGTAAACCATTCTGGGAAAGGACTGCCAAGTGCTAAACAGACCCATTTGTGAAGGTCATCGGACCACCAAGCAAGAGACGCAGAGTTTGGAGGGGCCGATGCAATCATCGTGGCAGAATGCGCCGCAGCCCTTGCACATGATCATGGCCTTCAGCCGACAGTAGCATTTGGAGGGGGACAACTCCATAGCGCTGTCGCCTGTGTAAGCCTGGACAGAAATGGGCTGATCGGGACAACCGGAATTCACGCCGCCGTGACCGGAAGGGATGGTTGTCACCGTCACAGAGAAAGAAACAATGTTGTCCGCGTTGGACGAAGCGAATTCTCCAGTGGTGGGATTGGAAGATCTGTGCAGGCCGTCTGGGGTACTGGAAATGTTTATGGTACCTCCGTAGCTCGATCCGAGAAGACCAGCAGAGTTTCCATTGGTCCTGGACGTTGGAACCATTTCTGGATGGTGATGCTGGGCTCCAACTGGTGCTGCATGCATTCCAAACATGTCCGAGGTGCTCTGTTTTAACCGCACGCCAAGAACATCGGCCATTTTGGCCAAGTCTCTGGCTATGTTTGCATCACGGCAGATGTTGCCTTTGGTGAGGATTTGAACTTTCTCCTTCGCGCCGCGAGTTTGAAACTCTTCAGCTTTTGTATATTCGTTGCAGGGATTTCCTGACATCAACGAGGAGACTTGGTTACCAGACTCAACTTGAAGAGTTGAAGTTGGACATTCGCCGGCGCCATTTTCAGACTCGGAGCCCTCCTCATCGCTCTCCGTAACAGAATCTGTTTCACTGTCGAGGAGATCGGGATAATTTAAAGCGGTTTCGGCTTCGCTGCTACCAACAGGAGTTCTTCTAAAAGGCTCTGGAGCTCTTCCGTATGTTGAGAGGTTGAGCAGGTAGTGACCAGACATGGCCGGTTTTGAGGTTCCTCTCCCTACAAAACCAAGCATGAACCGATGGGAGATATTCTCCTTCTGAGAGGCACCGTCGTTACTTTCAGGTGGACTTGATGCATTCGCCGAGTTCTCCTGCCAAACCTTCTTGACCAGAAGCTGTAAGACTTCCTCCTGGGTTGCACTGCTGGCCACAGAACCTTGAACTGAACTGTTGCTTGAGCTGCTCAGGTTCTTTCCTGAAAAAAGTTCCAATATTCTTTGGCCGGATGGGTTTTGCCGATTGTGCCACAAGAATCTCTCCAGCTGTTCGGCGGCGGTATGAGATGTCTTCGCTATATCTTCCTTCCTACAAGACTCCGCGGCTTGCGCCACGCCTGCATTGGGTGGTTTATCGGCTGACGGTAATGGCGCGGTCTTCATTTCCACTTTTGTAAGCGGTTTTGACAAGATCTGGTCTAGAGGGACGTTCTTTCCTTGGAGCAGCTGAGTTACAAGAGGGTTATTGGCAGGAATGGTGGAGCTTGACCTGGTCAACTGCACACTTGAGGTGGCTAACCGCTGGGATTTCACACCGATGTCTGGGGACTGCTGAGACGTTGTCTTGTCATTGCCTTGCCCTGTTATAGAGGTCATCAACTTTGCAGAAGCAGGGTGCGATGTCAACGGGACAGGAAGAGCTGCTGAAGCCAGCTGCGTAACTGAAGATGGTTTTGTGGCGAGTGTTTTCTGATCTGACCCATCGGCCGACATTCCCTTTGTGCTTTCGGCTTTAGTATGTCCAAAAGGGCGGTCCAGGGTTCCCACCCCTGAAGTCCCAGGAAACGTCATAGGTCTATCTGCTGTTACAGATAATAGGTTTTGGTTTTTGATGTCGATGGAAATGTCACGTTCTGAGGTCTGGAGGAATCTTGTAGTAGTTGGGACTCGGGGTTGTATACAGGGTTTTTGCAGTAGCTGTGCTCTTGTTGCACCGTGAGCCGGTGCCTGCCCTGTAACCGTGACTTCGCCTTGGTTTTGGCTAGCTGCTGAAGGGGCTGAAGTTCCCCTTTCACTTCTCCCGCTTCCAGTACTTCCCAGGTCCAGTATCCTCCTCCTGCTTTCATCGATTTCACCTCCCGGACCGCTTCCTGGCGCTGCTCCTCCCCCGGGGCCCGGCCCGGGGACGGAGCCGCCATGGGCAGCTGCAGCTGCTGCCCTCTTTGCTCGGGCCAGCTGGGCTCTGGCCTTGATGTCGGCCAGCGTGCGGGCTCCGGTCCTGCCTGGACTGTTGCCGCTGGCTGGATACGGGACCCTGTGAGAGACCTGACTGGCAAGAAATGGCTTTTGGTTGATCCATGCCTTGGGAATCTAGAACAGAGACAAAATGTATACACATGAATATTTTAACAGAATGAACGAAAGGTCAATCTGCATCTAATGCAATGTAATAGCTGGACACTGCTTTATAGGGTTAAACCGGTTTGATGTCAGTTATGGACACGTCTAAAACACTTTACTTGCTAGATGAGTCTAGTTTCAGAGCTCCTCCTTTACAAAGATGTGCATTCTGGCCTAAGGTGTCAATCTTAGGTCACCCCTGTCGCCTGTCTACACAAGTCTTCCTTCTAATCTACGCACAGATTGTTTGGTGACTAAGACTATGGGACTAATAAAACAACAAACATAAAATCCGGCATCAATAGTAGAGATACATAGCTGTCTTTATTGAGCCTCCTGTACCCCTCTGTTACCCCCTCAGGACCAGCATGTTTGACTGACTCCGTCATGTAACACGACCCAGATTAAAAGGAGAACTATGGGGGTCAGGGCTTTTCCCCCATAGTTGAGGTTTACATTTAAGCGATCGAGCGTCTCCAGACGCCCGATCGCTTGTATTGCCAGCTGTCACTGCCGTTGCCGGTCCAAAGATCCGCTGTGCCTTCGGGAGGACACAAACTAGCGTCCTCCCGTCACCCTAAGCTCAGTATATAGGGAGCTGCAGCTCGCGGTATACTGAGACGCCGCAGCCGGAGCGGATCCCGACATCGATGTCGAGATCCGCCCAGCTGCGTGAGTGACAGCTGGCTCTGCCTATCTAGAGACAGAGCCAGCTGTGCCCGCCCCCTCCCCTGTCCGTTCCGCCAGTCAGCGCTGGCAGATCGGAGCGGGGAGGGGGGAATCCAGCCCCTCCCCTGTCACAGCAGAGAGCCGTGACAGGATCGAGAGGTGAGCGAACTCCGGCATGTGTTCGCTCACCTCCCGATCTACTGAGCCGACCTGTGACAGTCTCATTGTCAC